CGCTCATGTCACGCCTGTCAAAATTGCTGTGCAGTTTTGTCCGAATATCGCTTAAATCAAAACCTTATTTGCATTGCTATTTTCATCATCGTATCTCTGCACTGTAAGCGTAGGCAGTGAAGACGGGGGAGAAAAGAAAATTAACGCAAACTATTTCCAACACTTCCACTAATTGCATGTTTGAGTTGGAAGAATATGCTATCTTGGACTTCCACTCGCAAAGTTTTCGCCTAATTTACACCCGACATTGAAGGTCAAGGAAAGAAAATACAAACAACAAAAAATAAAGGAGAAAGTTTAAAATTATAAAGTTTAAAAGGATTTACCATGTCATGATTGGAATTTTAAAAAAAATAGAAAAAAAGAAAAATGAATACCGTGATTAGATGTATTCTGTGGTGGAGAATTAGCGACGAGGTTGTGAACACTTAAAAAAAGACTGATCCAGACGATTCCGACGGATTATATAATATGATCTGGAATGATATGTACTTTTTGACAAAGAGGGAGGGCCGCAAGGGAGAATATTTGGAACGAGCGTAGCGAGGTTAGTGCTTCATGATCGAGCGCCAAATATTTTCCCGTCGTGGCGCCACCAAACTAAATTAAAAACCATTTTATCATATGACCGTCGTTCTCTCTTTTTTGCACTTTTCTCTCTTTAGCTCGCGGAACCGTACAGATTTTCGAGGCCCTGCCCACGCTATCGTGTACCACCCTGATACGGGGATTTTTGTCTCATAGTTTTCAATAAAAGCTCTCAAGAGGCTTACAGGTCATAAGATAATAGGGGTAAAGCTTGATGCACAGTCGCCTGTATCTCCTTGATCATGCGAATTTTTTAAGGCGATGTTGGAAGCCAGGCTTAACGCAAACTCAGTTCTTTGTAGACAATCGTTGTTTTCCTTATCGTACAAGTTACAGGTCGTTGGGCTTCGGGCCCGCTCCTTGAAAGTTCTAGTAACTTTACGGGCCTGAAGCCATATTTAATTCTTGGAACAAAATTTAAGGAAATTTAAGGAATGATGGCGTGGGCGTATGCGCCAAAACATTTTTCTTTTTTGGTTTCCTGACATTTTAACGTTCGAATTAACGAATAACAATTTCTCGATCTCAAATAAAATAATGGCAGCCGAAAATCAGCTATTCTGGCGCATAAAGTTTTAGATAAAAGTTCACCCTTTCCGGCTCCAGGCAATTGTGATAAGACATGGTATACATCATCGTGAATAAATTAAATCAAGTTGTTTAAAAATTGTGAATGATGACACTGAATTTGAATCTTTTCTCATACTGTATGGTCTCCCAATTATCACGAATCAAAACGCTTTATTGAAAATTTACGTAAGCATCATAAGGGGCAACACACATCGATTATGAAAGAGTATGAGTATCACGTGGCCTTGGATAAGTGAGAGATGCCATATATTTTGATGTGTTCTCAAGTTAATGACTGTAGTTGTACAATCAATAATGACACTGACATGTCCGTTTGCTAAGTTACCTTATGGCCTACGCTGCAATGCATTTAATTTCCGGTTTACCGGTCCAAATAAGACGCACGCGCACAACTAGTGAAAGAAATGTGTGTTTGCGCTATACCAGTGGGACCGCGGAGAGACCCACGTCCGAGTTACTGAAAACGCGACTTTTCTTAAGTTTCACCTCTTCCTTCGCTTACTTCTCTTTTGGTCTGTAAATGAATCGAACAGAAAAAATGCGAATATCTTTTTTTTTTTTAGATACGAATTTTTTTTCTCCATAATTGAGTTTAATGGCGTGTCTATGACAAAGTTGAACGGCGGAAACAAAGACTGTTTTAACTCACTTCCCCTATAATCTTTAAATAGTCCACAAAGAAAAATAGCAGACTGAAAGAGTCTTGTTCATAACAAGAGAGTGTTCTCTTGTTCATTGCTAGAGCAAGTGTTTTCCTCTTAACGCAAAAACGGCTGAGATCGCCGAAAGTGACTTTGAAATTTACCATATAGCGTCCGCCAACGTTATACTAAACCTCTCCATTATCAGTCGCGCAAATGGCCTGAAAGGCAGGAGGCATTCATAAAACGTGGTTTTACCTAGCAAGAGCTTCAATTTCACTTTGATCATGAACATATTTAATATACAGATATCTGTGAGCTTAGCGCCACGTGGTGTATAAGAGTATGCTCAATTATCTCCACTCTCTAGAGTTCAGTGTTCTCTAAGGAGTAAGGAGCTTTCGCTCTTTCCTAAACAGCAGTAGGTTAGAATATATTTCAACTGAGTGCCTTAGAGCCAAAAAAAAAGCCCGTGAGTAATCACAACGGCCAGTCAAAACAGAGGGAAATATCACTGGAGCCAATAGGAACTCAACGTTCATACACATTGGTCCGAACCTAAAGCGCGGGAAAACGCTGGTGACCAAGCCGCGATTGGTTTGATTCTCGTATCTGATTGATCGAGAGGGTGGCACGAATTTTTCTAGACCAGTTAAAGACCGTCATGCAGTTAGATTAAAACAATCCCGAATTACTTTCGCCATTAAATTGAAAACTGCTCTATCAAGCTTAGTGTGAGAGTAACCCAGCAGTTGGAAACACGAGACCCACGCTGAGGGCTTCGGACGCGTGGTGCTAGCTGAACACACGATATACATGTGGCAATCGAGCGGACTTGAGAACAAGTAGGAGTAAGGTTTCAAATTTCAAATCGTGGGAAAATTTTTGACAGCGAAAGAAAAAAACATTTTGAATGTGGGGTTACTAGTTTCTTATCCAGTGTTGCCAGGTATTTATTTATACCAGATGCGAAAAAGTCAATACGAGATGAAAATGATGGCTCAAAAAAACGACATTTTGTGGATTCAGTGTTCAAAGAATCAACTGATACAATACTGATGTTTCCCACGCTAAACTCGAGGCAGTGCATTCGTTATCAAAATTTTTTTTATTAGACTTCCTCTACGGCGTGGTTAATGAGTGATTCAAAGATGAATGGTCAGTTTTAAACGACCCGCGAACTCTTTGTAAACGTGCTGCTTTGCGCGTGATCGAGATCATTATTTTTTTCTAAATTCAACGTAAGGAAAAGAAAGTGCATTTGTGGGTTGGCATGTCCCTTTTCTTTGGCGAGGGAAGCTTGTTTTTCTTTGTCAAGGGAAAGTTGGTTTTCTACTGGTGGTCGGAAACTAGATTAGTTGGCCGGAAACCCGGTAAATTTAATAATTTTGGCAAATTAAGTAACGTTATGCCAAAGATATTTCGAGAAAGCTTTCAAGCTTTCTGTATAGTTAAATTCCTAAGGTTGAGCGTTAATTGATACATTTTGTCATTCACTTTACCGCACGGCATGCAGCCCTTCAATTGACTGCATGGCTGTTGTCTAACTGATTTTCATGAAAATTCAATAACGGAGACTTGTATTTCGTTTTTTCTATTTTTTTTTCGGTCTGGTCCTTTGATTTTGGCGCTCTGCGTTTGCTACGCTTTGATGTACCGGATAATGCAATATGGAATCTCATTTTTTTAATCATAGGGTCAGAGTTTGAAATGCTCTTTTTTTCTCTCTCTCTGTTGTCCTTTTGATGATTAACGCATAATAAATTTTATCAATTGACTGCTTCGAATGTTGTTCGCTTTCTTTTACTGTACCAAGCTTAATTGTTTGGGATAGTCCCTGAACCTCACAGACCGGAGCTCCAATTTTTTGTTATGATGATATTTCTCAGAATCTCTTCACCATTCTGTATTTTCAACTGTGCTTTTGCCCATCGTAGAAAAGTGAGATTGGATCTTAAAAGATTTATTGTCAAAGGATTTTTCAAGATGACTCATATATGGTCATATATGTCTTCCATCTAAAATGATGTGAAGAGCAAGGTGTCCCTACAACCTCGTTCCCAGGGCTTCTCCCTTGAGAGTTGGGATGCCCCAATTTTCGAGGGAAAAGCCCTGGGACGAGTTGGTGTCATTTCCCTTTTCGGATTATTTCGTATTCTGTGGTAACAGGCACCACTCTTACCCCAGCATGTTGCACTTCACCTAATTCATCATGTTCTCCATTAAAAGTTTGCAGCTTTCTGCTCTTGGCTTTAAGTAGTCGTCTGCGGACCTCAGAGGAATGAATCTCTTCTGATTTGATAGAGACAAGAAATCTGACATAATATTATTCACAATCATAATATAATGTTTCTGATTTAGCTAAACGATTCTATATACTTTCTTCGAATTGCCGCCAAATTTAACACATACCAGATACTATACTGTACTATACTATACTGGCAAGAGAGAGAAATGGCCGAATTAAAGTTTCTTCAACTATTTAAAAAATTTTCTTTTAACTATGAAACTATTTATCAATTATCTATTAAGATGGTTGTCCGATGGGTCGTTCAGTTTACTTGGCCCAAAAAAGAAGCAGCAGTGAATTACAGGTATGGTTCCTTTTTATGTTCCATCGTTTTTATTGCCAGCTTTTAAGCCAATTGGTAAGTTCACGAGTGGTCCAAGTTGTGTCGCAAACTCCCTGAAGAGATTTACTTCAACTTCTTCTCGCATTTTCAGCACAGTAAATGGAAAAGTTGAATAGATAAAATGATTAGGAGGAGGTAGAATGTTATTAGATCTTGATACAGCTCCAAATAATTCATTCAGCTGATCCTTTAGGAGGGGAAAGTTGCCTATAACTCACGGAAAGATGCAATCGAATGGGACTTCCTTCTAAGCGTCGCGGAGAAGGAATTTCCGTCCATACTAACGGTTGCCCGGGGGGAGGGAAGGGGGGGGGGGGAACTGGAGAAAAACCCGAATATATGAAAGATTCAGAAGTGAAACTGGCAGAAAAATTATTAATTAATAATTCCAGTAAAGTTACATATTCGTGACGAGACTGAGTCATTGTAGAAACCGAATGTTGAGTAGTTAGGAAGGGTCTTTTTACTTCTCAGTCAGCGGTATGAGATTGAGCGAAGGTGACAATTATTGTTTCCAGCGGTTGTTCCCATTTGAAACACAGCAGCCATTTTTCGAGCGCTTTTCCTTTGTTCGTTGGACTCTTTTGACACCTTGGATTTCCGCAATTTTTACAGATACCTAGGAGATCTGTCGTCGCTTATCCACAGCAAGGACTTTGCCCTTAATATTTCCGCGCGATCTATGGCCGAGCGTAGGCGAAGTGCCCGACAGCTGGCACGAATCGCGGCGAAAGATCCCGAGATCAGTCCGTCAATATTGAACTCGTGGACTGTTGTGAAATTGCGCCAAGAATTAAAAAGAAGAGGGTATCCTACAACAGGCTTGAAAGCAGAATTGGTAATTTTCTGTTGTACCTGAATTACATATGTTTATATGCTGTTCTTTAATAAGCTTCGCGTTTCCGCGTTAGCTTTATTTAAATATTTATCATTTATTTTGTTTCCGCTGTACTCATAGATTGCACGATTAGAGAGTTTAGATGTAATACCCCTAAACGAAATGTCCGAAGAATCTACCAATTGGTAAGTAGATTCCCTTTTTTACTGTCTTTAAGGGCTATTATTTGATTGTAATCATATATTTTACACTTATAGCTATAATAGAAAGACATACATCGAAAGAAATAGTTAGAGGTGTAATTCTCATGGTTGTCTTGCAATCATACGTCCTCACTGTGTCTGCATACGTGTTCAAATCCGGCGCACTGGTATTATTAGTTTATCCGGGAAAACACTCATATTTGTGTGAACTGAAGAATTCTCTTTTTCTTTGCTGGCAGTGATTTGTCAATTCATTATTTACTGTTTTAGTCTTAAGTGTGGCATATTTCGTATTTTAAACCTTGGAGAACTGGAAGTTAACAAATTCATTTTCCGACGAAAGTTAGTCGTGACATCCACGTGTTTGATTAGCTGTACAGTGTTTGTGATATGTTGTTCTGGGGTTCATTGCAAAGAAAATTAGTTGAAGAAAGATTGTCTGATCTCTTTGATGTGTATGATTTCCTCCGCTGCAATTGAAAGTCTCAGTTTCAGTGTTATTATTAGAATTTATCATATTTCCTTTCTATTCAGTTTTTTGCTCATTTATTTTTTCTATCCATGATGTGTGATGATGTCATTCAGTTTTCTTTGCCAATTTTTTACTTATTTGCAATTCATGATGTGTCAATTGTTTGAAATGTAGAGAGTAATTTTGTCATTTCTAAGTTCTTTTCATTATTTAGCTGACTTTGCAGGTCAAATTGACGATTTTTAATATCTGAAGGAATAAATTAACATCAGCTTTTGAGAAAGTATATTTGCATGAACTACTCTAAAATCACTTTTTATATTTATTGAAATCAGGCAATGTTTATAAACAATTTATTTGACCTGTAGATTCCTCCAATGACCAGACATTTCCATCACTGGGGGGAGTTGAAATGTTTCTGTATCAACTCGGCAAACTCATTTCATCACTGAGTTAGTCTCTTAGCTCTGGTAGTTCTCTTTGCCCTGTTATGTGTTGTCCTATCCACTATCCTCTTGCCTTGGTTCTCAGGCAATGAATTCAATTTGCCTCTAGCTGTTTTTCACTTCCGAAGTACTCAGTTCTTTTTCATTTGTAAACCAAGTTGCTCTTTGATATGATAACTATGATGTAACACGAGGATCTCAGATCTCTGTCATCACTTTGAACATGCTGGTATTTACTTACTTAATTTTCAGGGGTTGATTGAAAAAAATTAACATTGTTTTTAGGATATAAATACTTTCAGAGGTGTTTCATTTTATGAGGTCTTCTGTGTATTTTAATGTTAGGATTTACCCAATATTCTCTTAGAGTACAACTAACAATAACTGTCACAAAGAGAAATACACAATCATTACTAATCACAAGTTTTCTGCTCAAGGTCCCTCAGTATCGATTCATTTTATAATTTATATATGTCAATGATTTTGTGATCCAGAAAGTTAACTCCCAAACACAGCATGAGTACAGAAATGTTTAATACATTGTGATATTATTGTCTGTAGGATCAAAAGTTGTATGTCTTCTTTTCGTGTGTACTGTTTTATTGTATATTCACTTGTAGGATCCACAATTTATCAGTTAGTTTTCTCCCACAGTGATCCACCTTTGACTGCCATTTGTTTGTTTATCTATTAATATTTTTGTTTTCAGTAAGCAACAAACCTCCTCTGCCAATACTGGAGGAGTAAGGCATAGGGAAAAAATGAATCAAGGTAAGAAGAGTGATCTTAAAACACAGAATCAAATACATCATTATTAAAAGAAACTATGAGAAAGTTCTATCAGACTGAATATAAACCTCTTACCTTTACTATTTATAAATAAACTCTCCATACTGTATGTCAAATGTTTCCTTTATTTTTATGTCTGAGAGTTTGGTGATAAATCAGACAGTATTCCCTTAGTTTTTTGTTACCTCTTATCACCCAATCAGTGGGGTCCTGATAAGGTAAATTCTGACAAGCGACATGACTCTGACAAAGCCACATGACTCTGGGACAAAGAGAACTGTGAAATCAACAGCTACATTGGCTTTCTAAAAGTTAGACAATGATTTGCAGCGCATTCAGGTTGAAGAAATTGTATTTTACAAACAAGTTAAACTTTCCTTGAGTATTTCCTCTCTGTATTCCCATATCACACTTTGCAAGGCTATTATTAAGTTTGGTTGATAATAAAAAATTATCCTAAAATAAAATGGTTCTGGAACAGAATTATGAAGACACATTTACATTGAACATTCTATCAGTGGCTTTGGGCAACATTGTGGCAGCGACATGAAACCTTCCAAAACTGCAACATGAAAAGCTATCAATCAAGCTTGGCAGCAAGTTGATTTTCAAGACCTCAATGATATTGAAATAATGAATTATAGAATTGCATGTTCATTTGATCTCTGTGTTGGACTAATTAGAAAGTGAGAATTTCCAGTAGATGGATTTGTGAGGTCTCAAAATATAATCCTGTTGTTGATGTGGTAAATCAGATCACTCTCGACCATATACTTTAGGCGGGAAATGCCTCTAGTTGAATAATTATGGGGAACTACATTTAGTTGTCAGTCAAGAATAGCTGAACTTGACAAAGACATTCAGAAACTAGTAAAGGATGATAGTTATATTAGTTAACAGTGGATACCTCAACTTTCAGTCAAAAGGTAGGGTCCAGACAAAGAGTGCTCTCCCAATATTAGTTAGGGTGAATTCAATTTTTCATGCCCTCTTGGGTAGTGTATACCTGAGGGTTACTTTTAATCTCTTCAATACTCTCCTGGGTAGTGTATACCTATGGGTTACTTTTGATCTCTTCTATACCTTCTTGGGTAGTGTATACCTGAGGGTTACTTTTAATCTCTTCTATACCCACCTGGGTAGTGCATACCTGAGGGTTATTTTTAATCTCTCCAATACCCTCTTGGGTAGTGTATACCTGAGGGTTACTTTTAATCTCTCCAATACCCTCTTGGGTAGTGTATACCTGAGGGTTATTTCAAAGCTCTTCTTTACCTTCATACATGGCCATCGCGTTAGACAACATTCATAAGTGTGAATTTGCTCACAATGACCTAAAATGTAATAATGTTGTTTTAGAGAAACATGAAGACCTGTTATATGTTGCTGTAACATTTGGTCAGGACTATTTGGGGACCTTGTGTTTACCATTGTCTTTAAGACATGCATTGTTTCTATACAGAAAATAAGCTTAGCGTACTGCTGCTTGAGTTATTTCGAATTAAACCTATTAAGTTTGTTTGAGGCATTTCTCTGGACTCATGTTTCTGGACAATGAGCAAACAAAGTAGAGTTGTATCTGGAAATGATTAGAAATGTAGTTATCAGAAGTTGCAGTTTTTTTCCTTTTTGGTCAAGGGGAGCTTTATTAACTTTTTCATAGCAATTATCACGTCCTGGAATGTTCAGCGAACACCTCATGCCACCAAGAGAATCAAACCTTGGCTTTAATACAATATCAAGCAGACAAGTAACAAGCATCAATGAAATTATCGATTAGGGCATTATTGCTTGACCGTAAAATTCTCCAAACTATATGTAACATCTCAGAATTTTACGGCAGACAATAAGAAGGATTACTAATGAGATCTTGAGAAAAGAGTGTAAATAACAGCCAGCACAGCTCCTATACAAGTTAACATTTGTAAGTGCTTCTCATAGAATCTTTTCCACAGAAAATGACACCATGGTAATTAATCAAACAGTGCCAGTCAATGGAGTGAGTGCTGGTGTCCTGTCAGAAGATGAGATACGAGCACAGAAAAAAATAGATCAGAAAAGAAGACAAGGGATTGTACTTTGGCGTCAGCCCTTTTTAACTTTGACTTACTTCTGCTTTGAGATGGGGATTCTTTTACATGATTATAAGGAAAGGTAACTGGTAAAATATTCATTTTATTGATTATTAATTTTTTCTGTTCAAGGAAATATTTTCTTATTTAGTCCTTTGTCTGTTAACAGTTGGTTCCACAAAGTAACTTCCTAGATTGAATGTCAGAAATTTTTATTTTGATAGAGTATTGCATTAAACTGTAAGTTAGTAGTTTTTATGTAGGCTTTCATGCAGGTGACATATTTTATTAGTGAATCAAATGAATTAGTATGTATGATATTAGAGTGTTTTTTTTTTTATTTTGTTAATTTGCAGGGTATTAAAACACAAAAAAACAGTTTCATCAATAGTCCTGATATCAATTTTAATGACTCTGGTATATAATTTGGAGGGCTCCCATCAAGAGGTAATACATTGACCTTTTTTTCTTAACCTGTGTGGGGTGTTAACCCTTCAACTCCCAAGATATGATTGTCAATTCTCCCCTCTAGCTGCTACAAATATCCTTGTAAATTAGTGCTAAGAATTTGGTGCAAGATCAAGATAACAGCTGCTACCTGATAAGTTTGAATATTCTCATTACCTGTTTACTGTATGATGTAAGGATATTAGAGGGAGAAGTTTCATGTTTATCACTTCTGGGAGTTAAAGGGTTAAAGCACATTTAGAAATTAGAGTGATTTTCAATTGAGTTTGAAGTAATCTGAGATTTCTCCAGGTTCACTTTACTTGGTTCTGTAATTGGTCCAGAAAAGAAGTGCAATGATGAGATTATCTAACATAAACAGTGGTATTTGACAAGATTATTTAAAGGGAAATTTTTGTTTTTATTGGATAGTATGTGTGTCTCAGCTCTAACTTATACAGTGTAGTAGTGAACCCTTACACTCAGGAGACAGACTGACCAATGAACAGGACATGTTTGTTGAGTAATGTAAGGCCATGACACTCTGGAGCACAAGGTCTGTGTGACAAACTGCCATGTATTTGCTCCTTCCAAAATACATTACTGTGACTCACCCAGTTTTAGTTATTTTGGAGCTCCTTGTTTCAGTGGCATAAATCTGTTGTATTGGTAAGGACAGATTTTCATCAAAATTCTCCACTCACAAAATTGTCACATGTAGCCCCTTGGTCAAAGGGTGAATAGTGCTATCCACACTGGATAGATCTCTATCCAGTGGGTATAGTGCATTACATTTTGTTGACACTTGTCCACTGGATAGCAATTTATTTCTGGATAGCGCTGTCTTCCCTTTTGAGCAACTGGGCCATGGGGTTTTTAGAGGTACAACCAATCTAAAAGAGGCTGTAAGGTGACATGATCCACTCCTTTTTTATGCAGAGCTTAGGTCAGTTGAAATCAGTGTTGCTGTGGTGGGCGTATTGGGTTGGTCTTGGCATTCTTTCCTCTGTTGGCCTTGGCACTGGACTGCATACATTCCTTCTGTACTTGGTAAGCAAGCATAAAGTTGATTTACTTGATATATAAACTTTGTGTGGCGAGTGCTGCTTGTGCATTTTTGGATTAACCTTTCATCAAAGAGACAACACTCTAACAAAGTACTAACGCTTGAAATGCCAGCTTTAAAACCTTTCAAGGGTGGCCAATTTACATTATCAACTCATTTCATAAAATTAATTACCTTGTTGTATGTCCACCAGTGCAGCACCACAGTTTCTTAGCCCCCTACACCCTATGATCAGTATTCATGTTCTCCATACTGTTCTCTATACATTTCTTTAGGTGCTGACATTTGAGAATTTGTTTAGCAATCAAAAGCTTCTTTTGTTGTTGATCATTATGTTTATTCTTGTAACCTTTATATTGGATTCAGGGGTGATATTTTTTATTTGTTTACAATGTTTCCTACATGCAAAGTAGAATTTTAACTTCTTGCCTTGGCCTTTGACATTGGTCTTTAATTTGCATAGTGATGATTTTTGTTTGAATCATACCCAGTTCACATTGTGAAATCACAAAATTTAACTTCCTTCTCATGTAATTTGTATTCCTTTTTTTTTTTCTAAAAGGGACCTCACATTGCATCAGTTACTCTGGCCGCCTGGGAATGTGGCTCTTTAGACTTTCCTGAACCACCGTACCCTGATGAGTAAGTCATTTTAATATCGTAGTTATTTGGTTATAAGGCGCACCGTTTTTTTCAAGAAATTCTTAATTTCTACTAAAAATTACCGCCAAAATTCGGGTGCTTCTTATAGGCGAATATTTTCCGGAAACATTTTTTTTTTATCACAGTTACTGGTACGATTTCAAGCGAATAAAAGGACACACAGTGTTGATCATTGACTTTTATAAATATGGTGGTTCTGAAAAGACGAGCTAAGTCAAATTTGCATAGATACATGCTCGAGAGCGTGTGCTTAGTAATTTGATACGTCACAAAATGAAACGAAAATAAACAAGCAAAGAGATAAATACCTTCTTCATCTATTCAGCCTTCTTTGTGCACTGAGACCTGCATTCTCTGTGGTACATTAATTCTTGTTTAATCAAGGCTTTTGTTTGTGCACGTGGTCCCATATGCGACAATTCTGCTTTTGTTAATTAACGGTAAACTAAAATCAATACGCAACTTTTTCGCTTTTTTGTAAGTAAATGGAATTTACAATAAACTTGACCGATGTTTACTCCCCAAACAATGGTGCACCTTATAACCAAGTATTTTAGCGATATTTTCAGTTTGAAAACATGCAATAATGAAGTTGCCGAATTGGGGGTGCGTCTTATAGCTGAGTGCGCCTTATAACCGAATAACTACGTTACCTTTGGTAATGAGTGGATCATTTGTGGTATCAAATTCTCACATAATACATTTAATTTGTGTTTTTTATTATTATTATAGTATCATACTTAACCCTTTAACTCCCAGAAGTGATTAACATAAAACTTCTCCCTACAATATCCATACATTCTTCAGCAAACAGGTAATGAGAATATTCAAACTTATCAGGTAGAAGCTGCCATCTTGATCTAGCACCAAGTTCTCATAACTAATTTACAAGGAAATGTGTAGCAGGTAGAGGAGAGAATTGACAATCAGATCTTGGGGAGTTAAAGGGTTATTAATGGACTTTACATGTAGGTGTTTGTTTCATAGCCTTGCTGCCTGAGTATCATTAAAAAAGAGAGAGAGAGAGAGAACCCTAATTTTTTAATTCTTATATCTAAGAGTGACTGGCATCCAATTTCTCATTAAAATATCATCCCTGAATCAAACATTCAGGTCACTAGAATAAAGGAAAGGATCACCAACTGAAGAGGCTCTTGATTGATATGGAGAATATGCATTCTAATGTTAGGATTTAAAGGGTTAAGTTGGTTGTATTGCAGACTGTGATAATCTCTTACATCTCTGTCTTTAACTTTACACATCTCATATGGTTTATTATTCCCATTTTGTTGTTTCTCACCATTGTTTTTCGGTTTAACTCATTACTTTGTAGGTAAATAATTATTTTTTAGTTGAAGGAGATAGTTGGGGAAGGAGGGGGAATACCCATAGGGAAGTAGGCAGGCAGAAAAGATAACTTGAAGCTCACTGTAGTCTTTTTGTTCAGTAGAGTGGTCTCCAAAACTGGCAGCTTGAATCTAAAACCAGTAAATTTTAGCAGCACCAAAATAGGCTTCCACAGGAGTTGATAATCATCATAAAATTAATTCACTAGATTAACCTGTTGTTGAGTCTGAAAGGCTGACATTTCAAATGTATGCCTTTCACTCTGATTGAGGCTAATGCTGGAAATGCCAGCTTTGCAAACTCCTGGCTCTTGTACATGTACCTATACAATCAAGTCTGAGTCACAGGAAGTGAGCATCTTTAGTACATCTGTATACTGGTGACTTCTTTTAATCTCGATTGATAGAGGTACTGACAATGATAATGACCTTGCTCTTAGAATTCAGTGTCCTGATGGCAATCACACATCCAATGTCAACATGTGGACCATTATGAGCAAAGTCAGGATAGAAGCTTTTATGTGGGTAAGCCAGTACCAAATGTTCATCTGTTATTCCACTGTCCATTGCAATGAATAAAAGAGGCAAGTTTCTTTAGAAACTGTGGTGCTGCATTGGTGGAAGAGTATAACAGGGTAATTTCCTATCATCAACTGAGTTGATAACATCAAATTGACCACTGTAAGGAGTTTCGGTGCTGATGTTTCAAGCATTAGCCCTTCCTCAGAGCAAAACTCCTTAAGGTGGCCAATTTTAAGTTATCAACTCGGTTGATAATACGAAATTACCCTGTCTACATCAATGTCAAGTTGTTCTTGGACATTGTGTGGCTTCTATATGGTGCTTAAATTCAGGGAGTTTTTTAATCTAGTTGAATATCTTTCACTGCTTTTAAAATACATGTAGAGCTTCGGCCTACTTACCCTTCAACCTCTAAGTGTGACTAGCATCTCATTTTGCCTTAGAATATTACAGTTATGAGAATAAGGGCAGCTGTGATTAGCAAGTAACAAAGTTTTTGATTGTTAAACAAATTCTCCTTGTCAGCACCATAGAAAATGTATAGAGAACTGTTTGGAGAATACACATACTGATGTTAGGGTGTGAAGGGCTAAACTTGAAGTACCAATTATGTTAATTTTTGTAGGGTGCAGGAACTGCCATTGGAGAGCTACCCCCTTATTTTATGGCCAGGGCAGGTAACCAGTTATGTGTGACATGTCCTTGCTGTTTAATCAAAGGGAATTTCTGATTTTGTATTTTAAAAATCACAACTCTTAAAATTGCTGGAACTGAATTATTTTAATTTAAATGTTCAGTTCAGGGAAGGTTGTACAGAGTGTATATTAATGAACACATCCTAGACAGGTCAATAACATTCATGAATTTGTCACTAAGTCATAAAGAAGGGACTTGTATAGGTTGTGAGGGAATTTTCTCAATGCCCAATTAAATGGTATAGAGATGGAGTTAATAACATTTCAGACCAATCACATCTTGAAACTTGTGAACTCTTAATTACCCAATAAAAACTATACTCAACAAGGATAGTGGAAAATTTACAACTTCACAACAAATGACCACCTGTTATATTGCATTTTGTTTTTTTGCAAAAAAATATTAAGTTGTATAATCATAAATAGCCAGGCCCCAGTTGTTTGAAGGCCAATTAGCACTAAGCTAGGGTTAAATTTTAATCCAGGTTTTTTACATTTCTTTGTTCAAAAGCCTTTTAGGGAAAAATTTCCCTATTCTTTTTAGAACATCCAATAACAAAATTTCAAGCAAAGAAATTTGAACTGAACTCTCTTTTGAAGCTTTTAGACCTGAAATCAAACTTTACACTAACCCTGGGTTATCTTAACCCAGCTTTGAACAGCTTGGACAAGGTGGTGTTAGTGTAGAGGTATTGTGTGGCTGTGATGTATTGGGTGTGAAAATAACATCTGTCAGGTCTTTTTCCTTTGTTTTACACTGGCCAAACAATTTTTAGTTGCCTGCTTGGGTGAATACACCAACGGTGAAATTTCCTTTAACGAATTTCCTTCTGTTTTCTTCAGCACGTTTGTCAGGAGAAGATCCTGATGATGAGGAGCTGGAAGAGGTTGAGGAATTAGAGAGAATGACTTCTCTTGCCAACCAAAGTTTGTGGACTAGACTTAAGAAAATGGTTCTTGACTTAGTGGAGCGTGTAGGATTCTTTGGCATACTTGTGTGTGCCTCGGTAAGTAAAACCTGTTCTTTGTGGGTCATTCTTTTCCCTATCAATACACAGTTATTTCTTCCATTTGAACAGTCTAGCCACCCAAACTATCATCAGTTTTTTCTACTTTCATGAGGCAATTTTCATTCAGTTGACACTTCCTCAGTTTGTTTATGGGGGTGCTTTAATCTCAGTCAACGAGAGAGCCAGGCTTTGTACCCAAGTGAGGCACAATATATTCTTTTGGCCTGATTATCATTGGAAATGGAGATTTACCGCTAATTTGCTACAAAATATTGTTACGCTTAGGGTGTTGTGCAGTTACGAGAGTAAGGAACACATGAGTCTTGTAACACCCTAGGTGTGAGGAGATTGTGTAACAAATAAAATGGCCATCTCGGATGCCAACCTGGTTCTCCGATTGGTCCATGCTTCTTTGTGTCTGGAATCTGGCTCTCTGATTGGCTATGGACCATAGCGCCCCTATATGCTACTCTTTCACATAAATCTTTTATGTCTCTTTTCAACCAGATCCTCAGGTAGAGTTTATGCATTCATACTCAGAGGTCATTAATAATCGCTTGGCTTTTCAATTTTTTGACAGGTTCCAAATCCTCTTTTTGACTTAGCTGGTATCACTTGTGGTCACTGCCTGGTACCATTCTGGACTTTCTTTGGGGCCACACTCATTGGCAAGGCCATAATAAAGATGCATCTTCAGGTAAGAATTGGGGCCTCTTCATCTTTGTGTCTGTGGTTGGACATCCGTTCAGAGAGGTCTGGTTTGAGACAGTCAAGTCAATGTATTTTCATTTGACTTTCACGGTGCCTCCCGACCCTCAGGAGTATAAATGGGTATTGGCGAATTGTCAGGGAAGCCTGATGATATTGGGGGGGGGGGGGGGGGGGGGGGGGGGGGGGGGGGGGGGGTAACCTTACAATGGACTAGTATCCCATGGCGGGGGGGAAGTAGTGATAATCCTAGTCGCTTATGCTATGGAAATCAGGATGACCTCTGACTGGGTTGGCCACTTGGCACGGGTACAGACTTTTCCTTTCTTTCGTTGTGGTTGGTCTGTTCCGTTCTGAATTTAATAGAGAAGTGAATCTTGAGTCATTTCCAGGGGCACGTGATTTGAATTTGTTTTAATTTTTATTATTATTATTTTTACTATTATTATTATTATTATTATTATTATTATTATTATTATTATTATTATTATTCTCAAGATGTATTGTACTTTATTTTTCAGAAAACGTTCGTTATCTTAGCATTTAGTAAAAATTATGTAGAGGCTGTTTTATCCTATGTTGGGTAAGTTTTCATCTGTTATTGCTGATTCTACCCCACAACAATGTTTTTTCCCCACATTGGGCAAATTTTAAACAAACCTGTACGGGTGTGATAAGTCTCGGTTCACCTTTAAATCATTTAAAGCGTACAGCTACAAGGTTAGACGAAGAGCAGTCCCTCGTTCTCGGCGAAGTCCATCGCGCGCGTCAAAACAAGTCAATGAAAAAAATAATGTTAACGAGCTCTCCGCGACGCGCTAACATTCTTAAGTTAACAGAGAGCTAACATTGTTAAGCTAACATTCTTAAGTATCATACTTTGAGTTTGGTAATGCAACATGAACGACTTAAAAGGTCGTTGTTGTCGCAATACAAAGCGTTTTAAAGATCACCAGACGACCATTTTCGATATTTTTATTAAACAGCTTCTACATTACTATAAATGATTTGCAAACTTTTGTAAGTCTTCTTGAGACGAAATAACAAAAAACTAGACTCTTGAGGTGGAAAAATTGTTTTTAATTTTATTTGAGAGGACAATGGCAGTGGGAATTCCTCTTAAAAAGCTTCACTTCATGTTCTTTTTCATCTTCTTGGAGTGTTTTTTCTTGTTGAGTTTTTTATTCTTTTTGAATTGGATATGTGACTTTGATGTGCATTTTTTTTATTCGCCTTTGCAGCGACATTCCAACTGTTGGCCCGTATATTCAGAAACCTTTTAAGATAGCACTTGAAAAACAAAAGGAAAAACTACATCGAAAACCTGGTCAAGCAGCTAGTACATCGGTAAGTCACTGAGTTTATACCACCACACGACCGAAAGTTGGTCTGACCACTTCCTGGCCGTCTTCATTTCGCAAACTTAATGTGTGATGGGTCGGGAGAAAGGCGCAGCCGAGTGTGTTACTGATGTTCTTACCACATTTTCACGTCCTCTGTGATCTGTTACTGAACAGACGCACGGCAACTTGGAACCTATTTGTTTTATATAATAAAGAATTTTAAAAAGTTTTAATGATGACGTCATCTATACGTCTGTCCTCCAATAGATCAAAAGTTAGAACCAATCAGAATGCGTGCATAACTGAGCTTATTATATAAAATACTATAGATACCATGAATGACCATAACTAAGAAACCTTATCGAGACAACTTATGAGATTAAATGTATGTTTGCTCTGTTCCTAAGAATTGTACAACAATTGTTTTTGAAAGTACTTTAGTCTGGACACCGCGTAACACAAAAATGACGGGACCAACCTTACAATTGCGTGAGGTGATTGATCTGACAAACTCGTCTCCTCTTTCTTCGGCAGGAACCAAATATTCTGGCTTGGATTTTTGAGAAGCTTGTTATCGCCATGATCGTGTATTTTTTGTTGTCAATCATCAATTCCATGGCCCAGGCTTACGCCAAACGCTTGGACGAGCGAAAGAGACAGTCGCAGAAACCAGCCAAGGGAGAGTGAACATTAGAACGCATCTACTGTTCAAGAATATATTTGCCACAAGCTTCTTTTCTAACCCCAATACGCAGACACTCCGAATATCTTACCTTGTGACTTGTTGTAGCGTGAAGACGGTTGTTATTAAAAAAAAGACTTAGAAAGACACGGTTATGTTGTGACTTTCTTTCTACACCCTGCCACGACTGTCGAATTACAACAGCCTTACATCAGCGTCTTAACCCTTTAAACCCAAACAGCAGTATGCTTATTCTCCATACTGTTCTCTATATATTCCTTAAGGTTCTGAAAGGGAGAATTTGTTTACCAATCGAGAACTTCTTTCGTTGATGATCATTTCCTTTATTCTCATGACCTCAATGTTTGATTCAGACTGATATTGTATGGAGAAATTAGCTGCCAGAGGTTAAATGGTTTACAAACAGCGGAACAAAACGTCATCGGCCCTACACCAGACAATTACATGCAAGTCGAACCTGCTGAACAGGTTCCATTGCCAATCCATAACCCTCCATAGGGTAGTAACTATGATGGTGCATCCAAGCTGTAAAGAGGAACCTAAAAAGAGGAACCTAACGCCACGCCTTTAGTTTGGAGTACACGTATAGGTGCATGGTTATACACTTCGTAAATAAATTTGTTTACCGATTAAAAGCTTCTTTCTTTGGTGATCATTTCCTTTATTCTCATGACCTTAATGTATCATTCAGGGGTAATATTGTAGAGAGAAATTAGATGTTAGTCACTCTCAGGATTTAAAGGGTTAAAGGGACTGAATTGAAAATTGCGTTCAGCTTGCGAGTAGTCTCTCGAGTTTAGGTTTCACCTTGCGGGCCCCCTCTCCGGGCCTAGCCGCCTATTGTATTATTAGCAGCTGCCTATGGAAAAAAGTACTTAAATCCCTGCTCTGAAAGAAAAACACTGCTGCCAAAAGCCTGTGTCATTTGTACAGAAGGTAGCGAGGAAAGACGTGAAAAAGAAAGGGAGGGGTGGGTAGCGTTGGACGCATACTTTCCAATCTCCTCTCCGTGTTTCCTCTCTCAGTAATGGGGATGCTGTTTACCTAGTGAATACCAGAAATTGGTTATGCAGTCCTGGTAACGCAGGTCCAGCTAATTAGACTCAGGGTGTTCTATATATTGTTATATACTATTATGGTTTTACGGTTTTTCTGGTTTCGATATTTTGTCATTAGCTTTAATTTCTCATGAAAATAAAAATAGTTTTTTCGGTTTTAGGTCGTCACTTTTGTTTTTGTTTCGATATTTAGTCACTAGCTTTCATTTCTCATAAAAATAAATATAATTTTTCAGTTTTCGTTTTTCACTTTTGTTGTTTCGATATTTTGTCATGAGCTTTCATTTATCATGAAACTGAAACATAGGTTTTTCGGTTTTCGTTGGTTACTTTTCATTTGTTTAGCCTCGTCACTCTGATCTCTTTTCGTTTTACTATTCTTCCGCAATCCCTATTTATCCTTTAACTCCCATGAGTGACCAAGACAGAATTTCTCCCTACAGTATCAATACAATATCAAGCAGACAGGTGATGAGAATAAAGAAAAATATCAAATAAGGGGATTATAAGTTGATTAAATATTAAATTCTCCAAACTAACATCAGAAGAACTGTATGGCAGACAGTAAGGAGAATTACAAATGAGATCTTGGGAGTTAAAGGGTTAATCTGCCTGCATATTGATATACTCTGTCGCTCTGTTACTATCAAATTATCCTTGCTTACTTTGGTTTGCTTATAGGATTTCATGATGTATGTACACCACCATATGTAGTAGCGATCTGGTTGACTTTATAAACACTTTCTTTTCAGAAATCTACCAGCAGCGAGTTTTGGTTTCTGAAGTCACGTCCTAACGACAAGAAACCGAAGTAAAGGAAGTAACATTGTGTTTTCCAAGTTTGTTTAATGACATCGATCACACTTTTTATTCCCAAAATACTCAACCGAACAACGTCGCTAGAAGCACCTAATGCATTAGAAATTTTCTTACGTTACTACCTCAGAAACAAAACAAGAGATCGGAAGGCTTGCTTGTGTCGCAGGACGATTGTTTGGAAACGCCTTGAGGTATTCGCTGTAGCCTAAAATGTGTGACGTCACCCTACATTTCCCATCAGGCCTGTCAAGGATGTTGCCTAGGCGTCGTATATATAGGTGCTACTAAAATTGTTGGTAACTGGGCTTTTGGCAACGGTTTCTAGCTGTTGTGGATAACCTCAACTGATAAAATCAAACCACATTTGATTAAATCATGGCTGACGCTTTCAAGCGCCTTCTAGGTGAGAAACTACAGGGCCAAGGAGCGGATGAGGTCTCGACAGAGAGTATCTGTGGTGAAGGGAAGGTTGTTGGCTTGTACTTCTCAGCTCACTGGTGTCCGCCTTGCCGCGGTTTTACGCCCAAGTTAGCAGAGTTCTACAAGAAACATCACTTAGAGAAAAAGTTCGAAATTGTTTTTGTGAGTTCTGATAAGAATGAGTCTGAGTGGAAGTCATATTTCAATGAAATGCCCTGGATTGCTTTGCCTTTCGCTGATCGTGATCGAAAGGTGAGTCAGCTGAATTTAATCAGTTCAGCTTTCGTTTTGTGTGCATAACATGTAACACCCAATCTATCGATTCCTCTAATTTGTAAATTTTGCATTCCAAATGTAAAGAGCTAATTATTCTTGGAAGGTGTACTATTTCAGAGTAACTCATTGCATGAGTAGTCTCCAATTTGTTATTAGCGCGTCTCCGAGAATGAAAATTTAATAACGCCAACTAATCGCCAAGGGCTAGACTCGTGTTGCGCTCGCATAATGCAATGTGTTCTTCAGAAACGAGTCGCTGAAACTGTTATCACAATTTGAGCGCTCGTAAACAAACAGCACTCTTGCAGAAAAAGTTTCATAGGGCCACTTTCGTGAATTTCCTTACGAATATTTCTTAAAGCTTGTATGAATTTAAGGAATTTTTCCCATGGCGCATTTTTTCCATATAATCCTGGGAACATCGCAGCTGCTTATTTTTTTGCTAAACCATCTTTATTTATATTGGCTAAATATAAGTAATTTGTTGAAGCCATAACAACATTTGTGAATATTATGCTAGACCATACCTATGAACTATATGTAAACCTTCGATTTAAATTCAATTTTTTTCAATTTTTTAGTTTTTTTTATTTCACTAAATCTTGTTATCGTGCAATTGTAATGATCTCTAGATGGCTGATGATGGCTAACCAATCTGTCTCAATTGATTAGTTTTTTTTTAACCATACAGTACATGTCAAATAAACGTGTAAGCCCTTGGAATCGTGTTTGCTCACCTATTGTTGAAGACATGTCTCTGATATTTATTCATGGCTCACCAACATCGTGGGAAAAAGATTAAGAAGAAAAAAATGGGAAAGACAGACCCCTAAAAAAAAAAACCTTCTTTCGTTGGGTTAATTCTAGGAACTTGACTCTTTGTTTGAAAATATTACTTTGAGATTGACAATCATTTATTAAAGTCATTTCATTTGATTCGATTATCCATCCCCAATAACCTCTGAATTGGTAGATTTATTTTGAGGCTATATGTTGCAATTAATTTTCATGGATAGGGAAAGTGTGATTAGTCACAAAAATTTACTTTCACTTTTTACTTTGACAATGATGTTATATTCTGAGTTTCAGTAGTACTTTGAAAGCACTCCTTTGTTTCCTTTCACTCTGTACTGAATAAAGGGTTTTGCAGTCACAGTTGTTTGGGTGGCAAAGTCAATAGTTAAGATAATGTGTGTGGAAGTTCAAAAGAGGGCAGCTGTGCACAGCTCTACACATGTTTGAAATTTTTCATGTTTCACTTCACAGTCCCTCAATAATATTTACACTGTAACACAATGATTGTATGTTTACTGGGTTTTCTCCCACCTGCATCTGACAAAAACATCTATCAGTTTTCTGCCTCAGAAGGATACACTTCAGGAGCTATTTTATGTGACCACAACTGTTTTTGAAGGATTGAAATGTTAGACATTATAAGGCAGTGAATTCAATAAGTTTTCTTTTATCTCATGAAAGTAGAGAATTTTTTCAACCCCAAAAGTGTTATTGATTGATCCAGCCACCAATGGTTGCAATCAGCCAGTAAACTTTTACTGTTCCCATGGTTCTTGTTTCCCATCAGTTCATAAACAATCAAAGCAATTCACACTGTTGGGTTTGTGTCTGTCAATTTATTTTTTTTTTAACAATCTTTCATAATAAATTTTCTGAGTTGAGTAGCTCTTAGCAACTTATACAACAATATGCAATTGAATTCAAAGCTAAATAATTAATCAGTTTATTGTTCCAATATACATGCATTCAGGATCAAAGCCATGTGAAAACAGATAAAGTGAAAGGAAAATAGTAACACTTGAACTCTCTTTGCTTCTCTGGTTCTAAATACTTAGAACTTTTATCAACTCTGTGACTCTTAAATGGCATACTATTGTATTACTGCTCTATGCATTAAACAGAACTAGCAACCAAACCCTTTTACTTCCAAGATTTCATTAGGAATTCACATTAACTGTCTTCTATAAAACTTTTATGTTTTTAGTTCAGAAAATTTGGCACTGTATCAACTAGTAATCTACTAATTTACATGTCGATTTTTCTTTATTCTCATCACTTGTCTGATGATAGTGTATTGATATGTAAGGAGAAATTCTGTCTTGGTCACGCATGGAGGTTACAAGGTTAAATGGTTTTCCTCCCTCTTCATCAGGAGAAACTTTCAAAAAAATTTAAAGTTGATGGAATACCAACACTGGTCATACTGGATGGAAAGGATGGAAAAGTTATAGTAGCCAATGGGCGAACAAAGGTTGCAGAAGATCAGCAAGCCAAAGACTTTCCGTGGAGGCCTAAAGGACTGGCTGATGTGATGAAAGATGTAAAATTGGTTAACCATGAGAAAGAGGAGAAGTCATTTGCTGATTTAACTGGGAAAGTCCTTGGGTTGTACTTCTCGGCACATTGGGTATGTAATGACTGGTGTATGTACATGTACATTAAGCACACGATAAGGGTTGCCTATGTATCTTGAGCCAAACATGTGCCAAAACCAGCTACATGTATCCATTACTTAACAATGACAAAAAGTAGAGAAGACATCACCAATTTTTATACAGGTAGCTGAAAGCCAATTTTATTGTAAAATCAAACTCCCATCTTGCAGGGAAAAAAATTGCGACTATTTGTATTTCAAAAAAATGTTTTTCTTTCATTTTTTGTGGTTCCTGCCTCCTAAAGGAAGCAAAGCCAAATATGTTTTCAAGATGAGATCTTGACCCAATTTTGACCTAATGGTTTTCAGTGCTACTTATTTTTTTTTTTTTTTATTATTATTATTTTTTTTGGAGTATCTCAGTAGTTTGACATTTGCACTCAATACCTGGTTGAGTTCTCTCCTTTTGTGATTTCTGGCTCATAGCCACTGGCAAAGTATTGTTTCAGTTCTTACCATGAGACTACAGAAGAAAGCTGAAGACAGTAAACATCTCACAATCCTTTTTAGGATTGTGTGCAATTAAAAACAAATGTTTTCCTTGAAAAATTATCTCAATAGGTGTGATTTGCGCATCATGAAACCTAGAGGAAATTCTTTTTTCTTTGAAGAGAGAGCATTTTACTGTTTAAATCAGCAAATTATATAGATCTGAAGACATAATCTTTCATGTCAAAATAATTTCCCATTGGCATCCACTGAGGCATAAATAAATTGAAACTTTTTCTTGTAGAAATATTTCAATAGACATGATATGCACATCATGGAAGCTTTGAGGAATTTTTTTTTTCTTGGAAAAGGGAGTATTTTGCTTATGAGTCAACAACTATTATGCAGTGATAACTGCTAAGTAAGCAAGCAGGGAATAGGATACCTTGGGTTATTCATCAGAATTGAGGAACAGAGTAAAGGTTGATCACCAGAACAACGGAATGTCTTAAGACACAGAATGTCAGAATATCCTAAAGCGAGGAATTCCTTTTCTATGAAACTACAGTCTCAGAAAATTGGAATTGCAATAAGAATATTATTTATAATTAACAAGCAAAATTAAATGTAGTCATTAAAGGCAAAACCCTAAGGGTTAAGGCAAAACTAAGGTTATCATTGTCAGAGCCCAGAGGATTGGGAAACTAGGAGGCTTTCAAGCGAACCCCTTTTGATTAATATTTTATTACCATTGTTATCAACCTTATTGTTGTTGGTATTATTACTTGTTACCATTTGATTATTGGTTGAATGTCATTTAGACAACATATTCTTGCATTATCTTTTGCTTGTGGAACATGGTACTCATAAATAAATGTACGTGGGATGCAGCAGGTTTTCTGTTGTGCATGTGAGACAAATATTCCGCAAAACTACGTTCAAGTGTCATTATCCAACCTCTGGTTCTTTTCAATACTATAGAGATTGTGCTATGCCAGTAGCCACATACAGATTTTGACTGTCTATTTTTTATCAGTGCCCTCCTTGCCGAGCCTTTACACCACAATTGATTGAGACGTACAAAAAGGTTAAGGAGAAGGGAAACGCCTTTGAAATCATTTTTGTGAGTTCAGATCGCAGTGAGGAAGGGTATAGTGATTATTTTAAAGAGATGCCCTGGCTCTCTACTGGGTTCCAGGAAGGTATCAAAAAAGACCTGACCCAGATGTATGGAGTGCAAGGTAAGAGGTACTTCCAAATAATTTAAAATTATCAAGGTTTCTTCTGTAAAATATTGAGAGGTACTCTTGACCATCAAGCTGGAAGAGTCTAGTTTGCATACATGTACTTGTGATTTTGTTGAAGATACAATTTACATACATGTTCCAGTAGTCACAATAGTAGAAATATGACCTACAGCATCTGTTTGAAGCAAGGGATATTGGTGATTGCTGAGTACTTGCCTGTGTAAGCCTGATGGTTCAACAGAGTGAAATCATAGACTCTAACTGGCACTGAAGTAGAATTGTTTGTCTTGTGATGTAGTCACTTCAGATGTGAATTGTGAGGTTTTGACTGCAGACTGAAAGCCTTCTTCAGCTTGCCTGAAGATTCAAGGCTTGCAGTTTTAAGTTGAAACATCGCAATCCACTTTGGAAATGATGACATAACAAGACAAACAATTGCACTTCATTTCAGTGTAGTCACAGCAATGAGTAACCAATCACTTTTGCAGAGAATTTAAAATGGTTAAAGGTCACATCCTGAAATTTCAAAATGCGGTAATTAAGAGACAGCAATAACTGCCTTTTAATGAAAGAAGTAAAAATTATGTGGTTTCTGGAGCGATCTTCTCGTAAGGTGCTAACAATGAGAATTTGTTTAACAATCAAGGGCTTGATTGGGTTGGTAATCATTTCCTTGGAATTGGGGTGATATTGTAAGGAGAGGTTAGATGCGAGTCACTCTTAGGGATCAAAGGGTTGTTACAGAGTCCAATCAAAACGCAGTGATGAGCAGTCACTTCTATTCTTTGCAGGCATTCCAACTTTAATTCTTTTTGATGAGAAGCACAAGATCATCTCTTCAAACGGTCGTCATGTAGTTTCAGCTGACCCGGAAGGAGAGGTTAGTTAGCATAAATCAAGAATTCATTTTGTGCTGACCAGATTTTTTGAACCCTATTTCTATCTTAAAATATAAGTTTTTTATACAATTCATATTTGGACATGTATACCCTTGCTGATTTTACATCTATTTGTAATATTTGATTAAGGTAGCTTACTACACATTATGGGGGTCACCAGATATTATCGATTAGATGATTACTAAATGAGGGTTTAATTGTCAATCTTACTTGTTTAAGCTAATAACATCAATGGAGATAATGAAATTGAAATTCCTGAATTATGGATGCCTACTACCAAAAAGCATAGCAGCTGATCATCATCTAACATCTAACAACATCTAATACTTGAAATAACCATGAGGATCAAAATGCACCAATGACAGCTTGCTATAATACACCAATAGCGGCTCAAATTATTTACCTCATCGCCTGATGAAGACACAACTCATTAGCCTGAATCTTACATTGTGAGACAAACAATTAAACATTCATTTATCTATAGAAAAACCAGATGAACATTAGCGCCTCCTATAGCAAGATGATTACTGGTGCACATCACAGGGGAACACAAAACAAATACAAAAAATAAAATGATGAAGGACAGTGGTTTTGTTTTGTTTTGTTTTACCTTCCTCTTTTCAGAAGTAGCTCAGAACAAAGGGCCAAGAGCCTGTGAGAAACTGGGTTAAGAAATGTGTAGAGAACAGTATAGAGAGTAGACAAGCATTATACAAAATATACATACGGTATGTTGTATTGGCGTTGGGATTGTATTATTGTATTGAAGTTAGGAAGTAAAGGGTAGAGTTGATTGTTTTATCATTGTGACTTTGTTTTGCAGCAATTTCCTTGGAAACTGAAGCCTTTAAATGTGATCAATCAACTAACAGTCAGTACTGTGAATGATGAGAAATGTCTGATATATTTCACAGGTTAGTTGTTAAAAAATTATTGATTTGGGTAAAAAGGGTAGCAAAGAATCAGGTCAAAGACAACCTCAATTAGATAATCAACTTTTTTGTATAGTAAATTTTTCAAGTGGCTAGATGTATTTGGTGAGTCTAACCATTTGAGAATTAATATCATGAGAGTACATGTATGTGGAGGCCAGCTTCTCTTCCAAACAGAAATATAAAAAAATTGCAGTTAGTGCAGGGGTCCTTGTTGATTCATGATGTAGCAATTTCACTGTTTTACTGAGGACTGCCTAGAAATGATAAAGTTTCATGATTTACTTAGACAGCCATTGTTTTGTTATTGAACCTTTTGTTTAACCACATTCTTCCTGCTGTTTTTGTTGTACAGTAGTTTGCCAAAGTTTCCTTTTGTGCTCATGCATGCAAATTTAGTTGTTTCAATGCTCCCCCAAGAAAAATTAGTGCTCCAAGCTTTAGCTGAATTGACCAGCAATCAATTTTGAAGGCTTTTGCCACTAGCACAAAAAAGGAGAGAGGTGCAGTGACCAAGCTCCAATAATACTAACTTATCTCTCTGTTGCTTTTTTTTTTGTTAAGATGGTAAAGAAGCCTCTATTCAGGGTGCTAAAGATATCATTCAACCAGTGGCTGAGCATTACTTCAAAGTGGCAGAGGAAGCAGATGACGACCCTCCTTTGTTCTTCTTTTACACAAAAAGAGATGACACCTCCAACAGTTTGCGTGATTTTATAGGTCTTAATGAGGAGGATGATGGTACATCTGCGGGTATTCTAGTGATACTAGATATTCCATCGCAAATGGTCTATGAGTGTCAAGAAGAGGTGCTGACTAAAGAGGTTGTAGAGGCATTTGTAAATGATTTTGTCAATGACAAACTAGTTGGCGAAAGGCTACCTTTAAGGTGATGAGATACCAATGATTTCTGGGTATTTGAGTTTCCACATGACTATAAGAAAAATTTTGTTTTGTTTTAATGATGCAAATGTAAGAAACGTTTAATCAGTGACACCTAAGCATTTTTTTTTAGCTTAATTACGTGAACATGACTTTGGTTTTCAGTGTACACTGTATGTATGCGGCCTTCCTCACGTTTTCACTTTTTTTTTTCTTTTTAAGGTATTTTTTTTCTTTTTGTTTTTGGTTAGTAGTAGCAATTTAGTACAATTATTTTGGAAGGGACAGACTAAAATTTCATTTGAACATGACTGATGTGCACATGTTCCTAAGCAAATTTGTATTCTTGTCATTTTTTAATCCCCATATACAATGAGCGTTTTACTTGTTACTGTATCAATATTTTGTACTGTAAAAGGGGCTAAGGGGTGTGATCTTGCTTCAAATACAAGGAACTTATTGTTGTCTCCAGAAAGTGCTCAGAGGCTAGCTGAGAGAATTTGCATAAGATCTTGGATTACAAATTAGATGCAAAGCAAACAAAATAATACTTATGTGTTTCAAGTATGAGAGCATTTTAATGATGGAAGGGTGAAGCAAGTAAACAGTTTTTGATGTAGTTATTTAGTTGTAGTTCTGTAAAATGTTAAGACAAACTGTACAGTGGATCATGTAACTTTTAGGCAATAACTTAATTTATTAACTGTGCATGCATCACTATTTGTAAAAGCTGGGTGTTAGCAAGCATAAAAGCTGAATAACAGTGGTTAAATGGTACATTCCCATCAATTTACATGCCATTAATTTTATTTTGAAACGGTGCATGAATTTACTGTAAGTGGCTGTGTATGCCATATAAAATAATTATGCTTTTCATTATCTTCAAGCAAAAACTGTTTTTAGTCATAACGTATTTTATCAGTAAAAGGTACAGTGCAGATGGTCATAATCTTTTCCCCCACCTCAAAATATGGTAGACCTCTAAAAGCAACAATCGAGTAGGGCTGTTATGTTTAAGGTCTAAAATCACGCTTAAACACCTGTTGAAGCAGTGGTTTAACTAAGTGAATTGCAACTGTTTTGAGAAGTTGTGTTAGTGCAAAATATAGCCAGGTAGTTAGCCCTAATCCAGGATTGAAATTTCAACTTGATTTGGATTTGACCAGGTGTAACTCTTTATGATTCCTTATCTTACTCTGGAAGATGCTGAGGACACTCCAAGCAAAAATGGCAAAACAATCTAAGTGCTACAAGACTTAACCCTTTAACTCCCAAGATCTGTTTATTTATTTTCTGCTCTAGCTGCTTTACGTTCCCTTTTACGTCAGTTACAAGAATTTGGTGTTAGATTGAGATAACTTCTACCAGTTAAGTTTGTGTATTCTCATTACCCATTTGCAAGATAACATTTGGATATTGTAGAGAGGAGTTATTTGTTAATCACTTCTGGGAGTCAAAGGGTAAATAAAAAAAGTCTGGTAGCCTTTGGTAAGAATCCCGACTCTGATTTTAAAGGGTGTTCATGCAAGTCAGACAATTCAACTCATTATGTTGTAGTATTTAAGGTACTTCTATAGTCAGATCACACCAGATGTATATATATTAAGCTCATTAGAATTGTCATGTTTAGTATTCAACCTACTACTACATTGTACCTTATTATAGTGTGTAGGGAAATATCTGTACAACTCTCTCGGAGGGTTTTTTGTAGTGTGCTAGCCCTCAGGGCATATCCTCTGTGAAAAAAGTGTGTAGTAATAATAATTTAGTGCATGTTTATGTAATTATAAACGCCTTGAAGATTTCCTGGGTCTAGGGCAAAATCCTGGGGGTACTCCCTGGAGCTCTTTGTTGGGGTGTGTCGGTGGGTTCTCTAAATCCTGATCTTATATAAGACTAAATACCGCTGTAACCCCCTAGAGGTTCATACCCAATTTTAACCGTACAAGTCAATCATGCAATCGTACTCTTTGGGGTGGCACACAACCAAGAAATGTACACAGAGGAGTGCCCCCTCCCCTTAGCAGGGAAGACACAAGGTTGTTAGTTTGTTACCCTCACTAAGTAGGTAGAACGAAGTAAGTAATTTTAAATGAACTACATTAAGTTACTTATTTTATCCCATGACAATGCAAGCGTGTGTGGAAATAATCGTAACCTTGTTCAACAATAAAAGTGTGTTGAAGTAACTCCTTTATTGAAATATTTGCCTTATTCTTAACACGAATCTTCCTTTCAGCGCTGTACACACCTACAAAATAAATAGGTGTCCTAAACTTGACCGGAACATATTAACTTGTAGGACAACCGAGACACAACTGACTTCGACTCTGTTGCATACAGGGAATGAGTGAATCTTAAAAAGAGTTAGAATAACCATTCTGAAGAGCTGGTAATCCCAGAGAATAATCATGTATTGACATATTTATAAATTCCTCGCGCTCCATTTCCCCTTGCACTTATCCCTTGGATTCGGAATGAACGAGAGCATTTCACTGAGAACAAAATCAGACGATACAGAAGATGGCAGATGCCCTTACCTCTGAGAAACAAAGATTTCTCATTTTTAGTTCAAATGAAGAAGGTTCGTACGAGGAAAATGAGGGACTCGCGAGCTACGACGCTCGTACCTTTGCGCTACTATTGAGAGCCTGGTCGCAAGTTGAAACGTCTGGGAGGATTGACCCAACTTTTGTCCCAGTTTCTTTCTCACTTGCATCCTGAACAGGAAAAAGGGACCTGGAAACAAAGTTGGGACAAGAAGGAAAGAAGATCCTCTCTCCACGATTTTCCTTAACCATTCAACCTCCAGGAGTGACTAGCATCTAATTTCCCCTCACGTGATCCCCGGGGAATCAAACTTTAAGGTTATAAGAATATGGAAAGTGGTCACCAACTTAAGAGGCTCTTGATTGCTAAACAAGTTATCCCTGTAAGCACCCAAGGGAATATATAGACAACAGTTTGAAGAATATGGATACTGATGTCGGTCACATTGGGGACAAGAAAGACATCACCATAGAATCAAAGGAGCAATACGACACCTATTTTTTTTCTAAAGTTAAGACAACTTTGTTTGTCAAAAAAATGCTTTTGTGGCCAAAAAAATCTTGAAACCTAATAGAAGATATTATCAAAAATAAGGAAACAATAATAAAATTATGTTCTCCATCGACAGAGATACAGTTAAATAAAAATACAACCCCATATCTCAAAAGATTGTTACACAAACGAGTTTGACCAAAGTGATAGTTTATAAAATGAAACAAATTAATGAAATAATATAATTTCCAGGTTTCATTTGGATTTGGAGTGCTAATTTTAGTAAATGAAAAAGTCTTCAAGTTACAATGAAGGTAATATTTCAACGAGTACGATGTTCGCTCCTCTAATTTGTTAAACTTAACTAAGTTTAAGATAAGCCTTCAGAGAGGTGTTTCGTATTACAATCGATCAAAACCAACGGAAGAGCGTGTCGATGGTGTTCGGCCCGTCTTTCAAAGTCGGAAAACTCATTTGAATTTCAAATAATTTTTAAAATTAAAATTCATAATCTTTCTGTCAGTTTTGCACGTGGAAAGGGCTTATGAACAAGGAGAAATTTCAGCGTCTTTTTCAGCTTCTTGGGCACCAGAAAGCTCGATATTTCAACGTTATTACCTGAGATATCATCCGTTTTGTCAAAAGCAGCGTGCGGTGGTGATTAGAATCTGCATGCTGGTAGGGGTGGTTCGAATTTGACTTGGAGGATTGTTGGAAGTCATTTTGTCACGACTTTTCGCTTGGTAAATAACTTTTTTATTAGCTTATTTTTGATGGACATACAACGTTCGTGTAACTCTTTGTTGCCCTTAAAAATTAAATTACATAGTTGGGTTTCAAAAGGAAGAGCGCGATAGACAGTAGCACAGTTTAAGACTAACTCCTTTCTTTTCGTAACCGCCATTACTAAGATGCCATAGCAACTGTCTAGCTCGTCAAATGCCCATTGTTATTTCAGAACTAAGAACCTCTAGTCAAGCGAGTTTGGCGATCCCCTAAAGTTGTTGACAGAATATTTTCTGGGTCATTTGAAATAAATTTTTATGATGCATTTGTTTACTTAGGGATATTTTCCTTGTCAATACAAAATGTGCTCGCCGTAATCAAGTTTAGGCGATCCTGATGATGATCATTTTCATTTACAAATAAAAAACATCTTAATACCCTAACGATAAATATGAGTATATTCACATTTTATTTCTCTTCTCTCTCTCTCTTTAGGACAGCGTTAAGCATAGACAAGAAAATCTAAAACTCAAGGAGTTCAAGAGATGAAGAGAAAAGCAGGATTACTTGTTTTAAGGTTGGTTGTCAATATTTTTTTCTCTTTTTTTTTATAGCGAGTTGATTATCTGCGCTTATAAGTCTGGTCTGCACTGAATCTTGATTTGACAGAAGTCTGTGATACAAAGTTAATCACAATCAAAAACCTTAAAAAAAACTACAAACGAAGAAATAAGTTTGATTCCTAAAATGTTTGACATCTAAAATATCTCCCTGATTGAGGTGGATTTCAATAGAAATGAACTGCACAATTAGTTAACTAAATCGATACCACTAGCTTTCTGTTTAAAATAAGACAATAGTGTAAAAAAAACCAAGAATTTATCGTACATGCAATTATCATCCATTTTACCGTCCATTTTACCATAGTAACGGTTGGCCTTTTTATTACTGCTTTAGTTTTAAGATTGGAAAATGTTTATGGGTTTATTTGATAGCAAATTTCCATCATGAGCTGGAACTGAATAACTTATTTACAGAGGTTAGAAAAAATAAACCGATTTGGTAAATATCTTTGCTGTTGAGGCTAGAAGCAAATTCAAAGAGTATAGTCCATCCACTATAATTCAAAGTTCTTGTATACTCGAATCATTTACCTATCTCTTCCAAGTTAATTACTCGATAATATTTTTCGCTTCTAAAATACAATTTTTGTGCGATAACTAATATAATCCTTTAACTCCAAAGATCCGATTATTAATTCTCCCCTCTAGCTGCTTCACATTTCCTTGTGAATTAGTTGAGAGAATTGAGCTTTAGATCAAGAAAACAACCTTTACCTGATAAGTTTGACTATTCTTATTACACATTTGCTAGATAAAGTACGGATAGTATAGGGAGATGTTGCAGGTCAATCACTCCGGAGAGTTAAAGTGTTAAGTAAACCCCTGAGGTCTAACTGTGAAATTTCCTTGTTCTTGAACCTAAAGGCAATCTCAATGCACTCCAAAATTTATGTTACTCCTTTTTTCTGTTGAGTACTTTTTCAAAAATGGTACCTTTTAAACCTAGGAGCCTGATTGTCGTATGTCACCTCACCTGTTGAGGTCTAAACCAACTTCAAAGAGTATGCTTGAAACATTGATATGCTCGGATTGTTTTTTTTAAAAAATCATTTCTATAGCTGTCGTAAGTTTGATCTCCTGATTATATTTTTTCTGATTCAGAATTTTGTAGACAATTCAATTAACATTTCGAGCCTGAATTTCAAGTTTCCTAATTATTGAGCCAAAACCAAACTCAATATGCTCCCAGGATATTCAACATTTTGTCTAGAATTCTTCTCAAATCGGAATCATAAGGCCTTGTTTATATGGGGAAAAGTTATCGTATAGAAGGTTCACCCTCGTACCCGAGCTACCTTGGGCGAGACAACTTTTCCTACGTTTCCTTACTAAACTTGGGGAACCGTTTACATGACAAACAAAAATTTTTCTCAGCAGGAGGGGTGACGCACCTCGCCGGGCCACCCGTTTTTCATGGTATACGCACACAATTTCCCCATACAAACACTTTGGTTTGCCCATCTGGGTCAACTCGGTCAAGGCGAGACAATCAGAGCATACACGAGCACTGTTGACTCGGGTAAAAAGGTCAATTTTTGTCTCATGTAAACACTCGCTAAAGTTAACTCGGCTGGGAGGGTGACCTCCTGACCTAGGGCAATTCTTCTCTATATGAACGGCCAGGGCCTAGCTGATTTTAAAAGTTTCTCATCACTTGAGACTAAAACCAGACTTGATGAGTATAATCTTAGCAACGATGTCTCCCAAATTGTTCACAGAATTAATTTCTCTATTTCTCACAAGTTAAATCGACTGATATTGAAGCTAAAAACGTATTTAAATACCTACACAATTTATTTTTCACCACTTTTTCTCTAAGCCTTTTATCAAATTTCCTAGCTTTTGAAACTAAAACTGTCCTCAACATACACCAAATCCAACCCAAAGAGTATGTTGTAATGAACATTTTTCACCGAAGTGGAGGTGGTTAGTAGTGGATATTTACAATCTCCGTTTCGCGTCTCAGTAAATATCCAATACTAGTCACCAACACTGAGGTACATAGTTGTTTTAGTATATAATGAAACATTGAGATGATATAGCGCAAAAAGATGATTGTAACTCGTTCAATCAACAATATTTTCGGTCACAAACGCTCGGAGGTACATAGCAAAAGGTATGCGGAGTTTGAGCAGCCAATCAGAACGCGCCTTCTAGCATATTCTGAACAGTGATATATCTCGAACTCTTTTCAGAATCACTAGCAGATCTCTTGAGAGTTTTAAGCTCTGAAAACATTTCTTTTAAAACTAGAGCTTCTTTTCTTATAAAAAAATCTCAATGCAAGTCTAATTGCTTAAAATTTCTGTTTACATTTCGAGGTTTTTAAGTTAAATCTGAAATCAAAGTGAATTTGAACTTTTATGCTTAATTCATCAGAAAACTCACAGCATAACTGATTGCCAAAAAGTGTCCATCCCCTGGGGCTAAAGCCAAATTTTCAATTATAGTTCAAGCTTTGACATCTTTAAATTGTTCGCAAAATTTAAATTTTCACTAACACAGATAAGTTTTTGATCTGCAATCAGGAACATGGAGGCTAGTAAACGTAATTAAACACGTTCCCTGATAACCATGATACCGTTTAAATACACAAATTTATTTGGGAATTTAGCTAATTTGATATTGAAATTTTTTCCGCTACATTTCAGACTACTTTAAAATTAATTTTTTTTTACAATTGGTTGTCTTACAATCCAAGATCTTTTTGTCCTTAATAGAATCCGCATGAAAAGTCACGCTATAAAGAAATTCTTTGTATATGGAAGAATAAGAGTTGAAAACAAAACCAAAGCACA